CCATTCTTATATTCAAGATTGTTTTAAATACGATTTTAGGTAGGCAATCAAATGGTTGTATAGTATTTCAAAATGGTACTTAAGACGATCTTGAATTTGATTGAATACAAGAAAGGATTATAAATTCAGATTTAAGTGAAAAGTTATTACGAAAAGAGTAATTTTGGAGAAGGGAAAGGAGAATAAATAATATTTGGAAAATAATACATAAATCAATATCACATATAATATGTGTAATATCGATTATATTATAAATTATATAATTATACGATAAAGAAACTGAATAATGTCGCGCAGAAAATAATTAAAGACTCACTGTCATATCCGGGTATTGGAGGTCCCGTACTGAATTTAGGCAAACTAAGACAATGACCGTATCCCGTGCATAGTGACGTAATGGGATGTCCGGTCTCTGACTGCCACCAGTGATTTAAAATTGGCACCTTAAATACCTTCTCGGCCCAGGCTTTTGTCTCATAATCGCAAAACTCTCCAGCCACAAATATAATTTTTAAGCTAGGAGCAAAAGACAGCTATTTATAAAGAATTTATTTCGACGGAAATATATAATTTGCAGTGCGATATATTTTTTCTTTTCTTTCATGAAATTATTCCGGAAAAATTGGCTATACCATCCCTTTTTTAATCATCATATGTGAATCGTGATCACGTTGTATCATAATTCGGAATAATCAGATATCATAATCGAAGATAATCAAGTTAGATTGTTCAAAACTTACGATTTTAACGAATATTCTTTTCCTAATAATGTTTCCGGATCCGCCCGCCTTAAAACTCGTAAAGCTGTAGGCACGCAAAATAATGCGTTTACGCCATGTTGCTCAATGATTCTATGGGAAAAGAGAAACAAACTTTTTTAAATTAATTAAATTATCGATATATAATATTGGGGAAGTACTATATTATAGTATAGATTAAGGTAATCTAAACAAAGAATAAATCAGACGCATAAATGTAAATATTTCATTTGCGTAGAAACCTCTGAGGGAATTGCAATTGTGAAAATAGAGGCCGCGTAAATTTTTTTATGAAATTGATAAAATAAAAAATCTGCTGTAATACAGCTCAAAGCGATTTTTATAAAGAATTTATACAAATTTAACCTTCTATTCAATTTATACAGATCTAATTTTTTAAAATAAAAACTAATAAAGGCTCTTATAAATAATAAATCTTTTGAACTTATATTAGAGGAATTCAAAAATACCTAGGCATTTTTTAAAATGCATCGCTTTTCCATCCCCTAAAAATTGATCGAATAATAAAGAAAATTTATTTTATTCGAATTCTCTCGCTTTTACCAACCCTCACATTTTTTTCGAAATACCATTTTAGTAAATAATATAATATCTGACGTAGACCAATAATCTTCAAACCTGAAATATTGACTAGCATCCGGTGTCCTGTCGGGTTTTCCTTCGTACATTACGCTTGTCGCGCCGTACACGAGAGGACCATAGCAAATATATGAATGTCCAACAACCCACCCCATATCAGAGGCTGTCCACCAAACACTATTTTTATTCATTCCATAAATCGCTGACATGGTCCAACAGAGCGCCACCAAATGACCGCCGACCGGTCTTATAATTCCCTTCGGTTGCCCTTATAACAAATACTTTTTATCAAAATCGCATAATAAAAACATACTATGTTCAATCCGAGATTTTCGGCATTTAATGTATTTCTATCCGTTAAATATACTTTACTCATGATTTTTACCTGTAGTTCCCGATGTGTACAATATATACAATGGATCGTTAGCTTCAACCATTACGCACGGATGAGGTTTCGACTTTTTTATAAGTTCATCCCAGTCGAATTGTAACTTGAGCAACGGCGCTTTCCATACATTTCTTCTTTGAAATATGACACACTTTGGCTTCGGTGCAGTAATGATATCCATGGCAGCATTTAGCATAGTAGTATATCTACATTTAAAAATACGCGTATTAGAGGAAAAATGTAAAAGTGACTTTTTCATCAAGAGATACGAAGAAACTTAAAAAAAAGTGTTCGAAAGAAAAGTAAATTTGTCGATATATTTAACATTTCCTAGCTAAAAATTGATTATAAACTTGCAAAATATAATTCCGATAAATTTATCGAGAGACATACTTAATCACTTTGGACGGTTCCAAGCCGCAGCTCGCTGCAATAATAACCTTTGGCTCGGCGTGATTAATCCTAGATGCCAATTCGCTCGCTGCAAATCCTGAAATGTGTGTATTTTCAAGTATATAACTTGGTAATTATAACATCTGTGCTAGTAACGTTTCTTTATTGTTATCGAAACAATACAATGATTCGAAGAAAAAATTTTTCTATTTCTAAAATTGAAAGTATATATGAGGAAATATTATTAATCACACTGTTTTCTATATTTTTCTTCCCCTCGTCTCTTTACATTTTTTTTAAATATTTTACTATTTTAACAGAGCGTTTTTTACGTCACGGAATAAAAGATTTTACGATATCTATTCAGAAAATTAAATAATTTAATCGTTGTATAACGGCCGCGATTATCGTCATCTCGTTATTACCTCCGAAAACTACCGAATGAATCGCCCCCAGTCTGGCAGTGGCCAGAATCGCGATCACGGTCTCAGGGATGAGCGGCATGTAGATGATCACCCTGTCTCCTTTACGCACACCTATCTCGGCTAAAGCGCCCGCCAACAAAGACGTCTTCTCCAAGAGCTCGTTGTACGTCACTTTGCGTATCGACGACGTTTGGGGGCTGTCGTGAATAAGGGCTGCTTTCTCCCCGTTCCCGGCGTGCACGTGGCGATCCAACGCGTTGTAACAAGCGTTCAATTCTCCGCCGACAAACCTGTATTTACAAAAGCAAACGGTAAACCTGCATAAAAGGGGACCCCCCTCGTATAACCTTGACCTTGACATATGTTGTCGAGGTAATCGTCCTGAATCACCTTGACCTTGAAATAAGTTGCGGTCATGATCCGTTAAAAAGTTATTAACAAAAAAGTTTGATTACAATGTAGCATGTACTTTGTAAGTTGTAAAGCGAGGTCCATCCTGCCTACCGGCGGGGTGTGTGCGGGAGGGGGGGCCGAAGGCCCCCCTTGCACTCCCCCGTGTGTGTGTGTGTGTGCGCGTCATGCGAAAATGTGCGCAGTTTTATGTCCCAAGCATCAGTCAGTCACTATCTTTAATTGTTCATAACTTTATAGTAAACAACGAGCGACGATTGAATTAAAAGAAAAAGTTATTCAGAATTATGTCCTTGACAACATATACCAAGATCATTGAAATCGGTGAGGTCGCCCTTAATCTTAAGTTTTACCATTGAATCAATCAATTATTTTCTGCTTTAACAAAAAACCCAGGTAGCAAGGTGTCGTTATTATAACGTCATTTTTTAGTCACTGGTTACGTCAAATTCACTTTTAAAACGACGTAAAAGTGACGTTAGAATGACGGTCCTAAGTCACAGACCGTTGACGTCATATCTATGACGATAAAATGACGACATTTCTCTAATATAAGATGACGTATAAAATTGGTGAACTTTGCCTACTTCTCAGATTCACTGCTAATGATTTTCCTTCGTTCATACATATACACTATTCCCACATACATATTAATTGTTTATGTCTTTTAATACTCAAAATAACTGCTATATTTTTCATACCTTTTTGTTAATAACTTTTTAATTAATAATGACCGACGGCTAAAACCTTTTGTATGTTGTTTAGAGTCATGACCTTGATAACACATGTCAAGATCAAGGGAGGTCCTCTTTTATGCAGATTTACTTCTATTTTTTAAATACCATTTCGTAAACGGCTTGTTAGAATTGTCCAGGACTTTCTGCCAAGGTTTGCTCCAGTCGATACAGCCGCCAATCTCGCCCCAAAATTCTTCCGGAGACTCCAATGATTTCTTATACGCTTCCTCGTAGGTAGAACACTCGTTTCGACGAGGCGTCATAATATAATCTTCAAAGGAGATAATAATTAAGATGACGCTTCGTCGCGTACAACGCACAGCCGGAAGCTGCTTTGAGCTTTGACGGCGCTTGCAATTTCCAAAATTATCTTTAACTGAATTATATATAAGAAAACTATGTCACATGCCTGTTGAGTTTTACGACACAGATTTTAAGAGCATGGATCTTGATTTAGGTTCGGGATTAGTCTCTCATCGCAATCATGCGAATGTTATCACGATAAGAATACGTGGCGGATTTCCGTCACAAACGCGCCAAAACTGAGCACGCCGCGATAACGAGAGCGCCCACGCACGGGCAGCAACCATGTGCCTAGTACGTGCAAGAGCGAGGTTAATAGTATGCGCTAAATACGTGCAAAGCTAGCGGCAGTCGCAAGAAGGCAACGCGACGCGGCGCCAGACGCGAGGAAGTGCCTGTGAGTGGGATCCGATAAAACGGGAATATAAAGGCCCGCAGCGGGACCAGACATGAGTCGCCGCTCAGAGCTGACGAGACCTCTCGCAAGCTAGAGCCGACATTGTATAGAGCGGAAAAATCCGCCGCAAAATCTTATTTTCACGAGTTTTGCTCCTACGGAAAGAAAGACACAGTATTCTCCACGGTCACTACCGCCGCCCAAATCACCGGGCAACGAGCGAACAGGAGGAAACAACCGACCGAAGTCACCGGCGCAGCATTTCCAAGAGCGGAGAGTAAGTTGGAGCTTACTGCCTTGGAAACTCATACCCATCGAGTTGCCCGCCAGTGAGATTGATTCGGCCGACACGGACACCTCCTCGAGACGTGGGATATACGCGTCAGACGATATATATCACCACGAGAATCCTGGACAGTACCACTACCGGCCTCTCCCAGCCTCACCAGTCAGGTCCATATCACGGGAGACGCAGACGCAACCGCCAACGCGGATACATCGGGGTACGCAGGCGGAACATCCGGCGGAGGTGGATCGAGTCGGACAGCGACTGGGAGCCCTCCATCCAGAGTACCAGCACGCAGGCCGAACCGGAACACACAGCATCCCGCACCACAGCGGACCAACGATCGCCGGATAAATCACGGCCACGCAGAGTGCATCGCAGCTCGACAGCCAAAGACCGGAAGTCACCGACCGTTCCAGAAAGTAGGTGGGGACCGCCGAGGAAGACCAAGACCACACCTTCCATCGTGTGGCGGGAACGCACGCCTCACTGAACGGCCCTTCTAAGGGCCTACCATATTGGCCCTTCTAAGAGCCTACACAACCGGCCCTTCTCAGGGCCACCAACACTCTCAAACATCTGAATCCTCGCGTTAAAAGCATACGAATACACCGAGACAGAAAAATAACCGTTTCGAGAATTCACTTCCTATCTCTCACACAAAATAATTAATTAGCAAAAGTAACGCTAAAAATATTATTAGTGTATCTAAAATATTTAGCATATTTATACATTTCTTATTTAAACTATTAGAAGTGTATTAATTTTTAAAATAAAAACATTAAATAAAAAGGCTCTAATGTAAGATAATATGGAGAATATAAAAGCAAGCGAGTAAGAGCCAGACGCAGAAAGAAACGCGCGAAGAGAGGTGTTATTTATTTGTAAAAATAATTTAATGAAGTAAATTCGAACGTTTCGGTCTCGGTTCAAACCATCTTCAGCAACTGATACAGAGAGAAAGAAGAAACAAAAATTACATAACAATCAACATGAATACAGTTAATTAACTAAAATTAAATTAAAATAAATAATCGTAAGATGTCGGAATAAATACGCACATGAAAATGGATAGAGATGTACTCTTAAGACTCAACTGCCCTTATGACACTCGGAGGAGGACATATATAGCGAATCTCCCATCGGTTCCAGCCGTTGTGAGACCAAAAAAACATCAACGAGTCGGTCGTAATGTTGATTGCATCGAGTTAATAAAAGTTGTTTACACGTTAAAAGCCGGAAAGTTAAAAAACTTTCAGCAAGCTGTGAGATAAAAGAGAGACTCACCAAAACCTCCGAAAAGACAAATATATAATTTTTGTTCCTTCTTTCTCTGTGTATCAGTTGCTGAAGATGGTCTGAACCGAAACCAAACTGTTCGAATTTACTTCATTAAATTATTTTTACAAATAAATAACACCTCTCTTCGCGCGTTTCTTTCTGCGTCTGGCTCTTACTCGCTTGCTTTTATATTCTCCATATTATCTTACATTAGAGCCTTTTTATTTAATGTTTTTATTTTAAAAATTAATACACTTCTAATAGTTTAAATAAGAAATGTATAAATATGCTAAATATTTTAGATACACTAATAATATTTTTAGCGTTACTTTTGCTAATTAATTATTTTGTGTGAGAGATAGGAAGTGAATTCTCGAAACGGTTATTTTTCTGTCTCGGTGTATTCGTATGCTTTTAACGCGAGGATTCAGATGTTTGAGAGTGTTGGTGGCCCTGAGAAGGGCCGGTTGTGTAGGCTCTTAGAAGGGCCAATATGGTAGGCCCTTAGAAGGGCCGTTCAGTGAGGCGTGCGTTCCCGCCACACGATGGAAGGTGTGGTCTTGGTCTTCCTCGGCGGTCCCCACCTACTTTCTGGAACGGTCGGTGACTTCCGGTCTTTGGCTGTCGAGCTGCGATGCACTCTGCGTGGCCGTGATTTATCCGGCGATCGTTGGTCCGCTGTGGTGCGGGATGCTGTGTGTTCCGGTTCGGCCTGCGTGCTGGTACTCTGGATGGAGGGCTCCCAGTCGCTGTCCGACTCGATCCACCTCCGCCGGATGTTCCGCCTGCGTACCCCGATGTATAATTATTTTTACAAATAAATAACACCTCTTTCCGCGCGTTTATTTCTGCGTATAGCTCTTATTCGCCTGTTTTTATATTCTTCATAGTATTAATTTGTGTACTATTGCGATCGCTTTTATTAAAAGCTATCACACTATGCACCCGCGTTAATAATATATTAAAAATATGTGAATTCTTGGGTATTCCTTTCAATCTTTGCATTCTACTTCTTCTACTGTCGCCTTTTTTAAAGGAATTTTTCATCTCCGCTTTTATACTTAGCCTCGGTTGCACCAATGTTATTTTGGCTTTAACCGAGACTTAAAACTTTTGTTAATCAATTGATTAACTTATAGTCTAAAGCTTAAAATCGAAAGCCAAATAACATTGATTATTGTCAAAAGCCAAAAGTTTTAAGCCTCAATTAAAGCCAAAATAACATTGATGCAACCGGTCTTGTCTTTCATAATCTCTATTAATTATTAGCGCTCTTTCTCTGTTTTCTGAAAGAGCAATGTTATGTTATTTTAAACGATACGAGATAGCGATACGAAGCTGGTAGCATATATTTAAATAAGTCGCTGCTAAAATAGACCTGCCAACGTTTTTTACCCGATATGAATAATTTATTAAACCGCGCCCCGCAATCACGCGCATTACGAACGGAGAGCTTCCGAGCAAGTAGCAATTTTCTATCTGGACCGTTTTTTTCTTTAATGGCGCGCGTCGTCCACGTGTTTATTTCCGTGTACCGTGAATTACGGGATGTCACACAGCGCTACCTTAATACCGGCATCGGTGTACGTCGCGAAAGAAAATCGCAGAGAAACCATCGTGGACCACTATCCTTCGTTCCATCCCGTCTCATCTCGTCTCGTCTCGTCCCGATTCTTCACGTAACCACACATTGTTGCACGACGTTCCTCGCACACATCCCCATGAGACCACCGTGATATTTATCCGTTAGCGAGAAAAACACATCACGTAATGGGGAACGATGGCTGAAAATAGGGCGCAGAACGTTTGGGATTTCAGTTTGAACTCTTTAGAATGCGCGTGGATCTTTTTTTTCTCTATTTCTCATTTAAGAATACAACTTAAAAAAAATTCCTTGCGCGTGAATTTTGTTTAAACGAAAAGAAATCGAAAAATCGTAGAGACAGTCTAATATCTATCAATATCTTACAATTAGAAGGGTACACGTACACACGGAATATTTTCCGGCAATATGAAATAAATTAATGCTGTTATTTAAAATTTTTAGCCATATTTTGTAACTTAGGCCCACTGTCTCTTCATTTACAGCTCGCGTATTAGCAACTAGTCGCCGGAAGTACTTAATTAAAAGAACAGCATTTAATCTCAGAAAGATACACATGTCATAAATGTCTGATTTTTTTATCTAACATATAATATATACATTAATAAACACATTAATAAACATATTAATAATAGAAAAATATACATATAAAAAATAAATAGTTTTAATTATATGAACATAATATAAATAAATAAATAAATAATATAAATTAACTAAACCAAGCGTTTCGGCCTACTGCGGGTTCTTATCAATGAAAATAATCAAAATTTTAACACAGAGACATCGTAAGGCGGAGTAATACATACGGAACGCAAGTTATGCAAAGTTATTTTGTAAATGAATTATATGCACGTGTCGTATAATAAATACGCAATACGTAATGTAGTTGATAATCTCTGAAAAATTTCTGCTGGTTTTTTATATATAAAGGATATTTTGATTAAACGGTTGATTAGATCAAACGTTTGTTTTGTAACATTAAAATTGGATCAATGAATTAAACAAAACAAAACACTATCAATTCTTTTGTAAAATGTATTTTTTAACTTTAGTTATAAACTTTAGTATGCTATTATTAGATTCTTAAAGTGAATATTGTTCAAATATTATCTAAACGCTATTAAGAAGCTAAACGCTTTTTATTTTTCACGAATGTTTTCTTTATGTCTGCGATCTATTACTGAAAATAGAATATAACACAAAGTATTCTAATTAATTTCTGAATATTAAAAATTATAACAGCGGTTTTACAACTTATCTGAAAAAATCTTGCGCACAGCGAGAGAACCAATCAGCATCGTGGGAAAGAGGCAATGTCAATAACATGCTTTTTTTAAAGAGGGATTGGAAATAATTAATATTTAAAAAAATATTTATTAATTATTACGCGCAGTCAAATTT